AAACTCCGACGAAACAGTTTGTCACAGCCCCTCGTTTGTTGTCCTCTTCTCTCTCTCTGCCTACGGTTTACCGGGCAGTTCTGTTTGTGACGATATATATATATATATATATATATATATCACCAACTCATCAAGAGGCTGAACCCTCACCAGTCTGCAGAATCCCCTACCTGATTACACTGTAAGTGATAATCCATCTTAACCCCAGTTGTGGCTAAGCATCAACGACTGCCCGACAACTGTGCACCAACCACTTCCCTCAAGGTACCTGTGATGAAAATCAAAGCAGACTATCACTCATCCACACCAGATGGAAAAGTCTACAGACTGTATATATTATCACATAACTATGAACTAAAAGGGCGCACTTTGTGAAACAAAGGATAAAAAACAAAAAAACAAGGGCATATTGAAACCATTCAATTTCTCATTCTTCTTTTAACTCCCCCTCCACTGTGCCTCTCACATACAAGGCTCGGCACGTTGATGATGTTGAGCGCTAGCTGGCCCCATCCCTGTGTGCCATAACGACCCACTTGTACACTGTGAGAAAGAGGCAGAGTGAAGGGAGAGGGGATAAACACAGGGAAGAGAGATGGAGGGAAGGCAAACAAAGAATGATAAAGGGAAAGTAAGGGAAAGTACGGAGTGTAGAGTGAAGATGAAGGCAAAAGAGGATAAGAAAAGGCTTAAAAATGAGTTTATCCTTGACGACAGAGAGGACATAAATTGTAAGGATGAGGTGGATGAACACATGGAAGACCTAGTTGAGCATTCTCAGTACAACAATGGCCATGACGGCTGGCATTGAGCATGCCCACCATACACCCCCGACAAATGGCATGTCGATTGCAGGCCAAAATGAAGGAAGAACGGTCACCACAAAAGACCATGCATTCAGTATAGCGCCCATGGCCGCAAAATGGACATATAGTGTCCGAATGAGGAGGGTGTCTGCAGTCCTCTGCACACATGGATGCAGAAACCATGTCATTGTAGTGTCTGTGACAGAGACGATGGCGGCTACAGCCGACTGAAACAATGTTTGTAGCCGTGCAAACGAGAGGGTTGCGGAGTGTTGGTACATTGTCTCGCTGCAACACGGGGGCAGAGGAATAAACTTCGACATAAAAGAGATTGCAGACGGTTTGTTGTGGCAAGAAAACAGCATCATTATGTATGTAATCAGTGACATCAGTCATGGCATGCAGCGGGCCTTCATCTGCCCTGGCCTACAGCCAGGGCCTATTTGGCTATTTGCCAGTTAGGCCTGTGGGACCAGGCCGTGGCCTGACCCCACAGGCCGTATGATGTTCCAGTTCTGCCCAGTACCACTGTCGGTACCAGGCCAGTCCAGTCAGTCAGTCCGTTGGGGGTATACCCCAGCTGTAGTCTGTTTTTGATTCATTCTTCATTTGCACAGATTGGAGTACGTGCGTGTTGAGTCTGCGTTGGAGTTGCGCTGTCCCTTCCAGCTCCATCTCCATCTCCCCCATCCTCATCCCTTCGTTTTGATCCTGACGGACCGCCATCCCGGCGGGTCCGTCACACTGGTATCAGAGCAGGCTTTCCTCCCTGCTCCTCTCCCCCACCCACCCCACCTATC